ATTTATTTATTAAAATATAAGGCGGTCATATTTTTGATACAGGGTGGAGCAGAACTAGTCAATGGTTTACGATGATCTCCTCTTCAATGATGGACATCGTCCGCTTGTTGACCCATCTATCGTTTATTAGCTTTGTTATCTCTTGCCTCCTTGATAATGATAGAAGTTCTGTTTATATTTCAGTCTTTGAAGATCTTCCACCAGGTAAATAATGCATATTTTATTTATTTTTTATTATTTATTTTATTTTATTCCTTATAAGACCTTATAAGGTTTTAGGCTAATTTAGTAATATACAATAGATAAGATTTTCGTTGGATTAAATAATATTATGGAAATGTCATCAAATAAATTATTTCAGAAAGGAAAATTTTAATATTTTTAATAATTTTAATAGTTAAATTTAAATTTTAATTTTTTACTACAATTTTTTTTTCTGATTGTATTCAACAATTGTAAGTAGTTTTGCTTCAGTTGATTTGTTAGACTTTTATTTAAAAACTTTTATCATTTGTTTTATCGTCAAAAATATAGTTAAGCCGTTAGTACCAGACAAGGATTTTTTAAAGGCAAGCTTGTTATTATCAGTTCTCATATCATCGCTCATATATCACTCTAAGTTGAGATGGAGAAATAAGCCTTCTTTCTATCTTTTAAATCTTCTCCTAACAGCTCTCACCATTGCTGGTTAGGCTCGCTCCGCTGGTTACAAGTGTAAAACATCTCCAAGCTATCCGGTCCGATGCCAACTTTAGTAGCAATAGAAGCCATTCTTTTTTCCTTCGTTTAAATTTTTTATATATTGCTAGTCCACCTATATGTTCAAAATCTTTTCTCATCGTATCAGTCCAGGTCTTGATTGGCCAACCTCGCTTTTGACGCCATCCATCACACGGTTTAGCAAATAACGAAATATGCGTCAATTCCTGTGGTGTACGGAGAACGTGCCCCAACCAGCGAAGGCGACGTGATAATATTATTAATGCATAGCATTTGAGTGAAGATGGATGCAAATCATTTAATTATTAAATTAAAAGTGAGCAATATTATCAATCTGTCAACTAGAATTACGAATAAGCTTATTAAATTTAACAAAAATTCAAATTTCAATTATTAATTTTTTATTTCTTTAGAAAAATTAACTTAATCTCTACTATACTATGGCTGAAAAAAAAAAAGACTGGTGAAAGAAATATTTGGAAATGACCAAGTGTATTAACCTTGAACTGTCCTTTTAACTATTATATTCATGTCATGCCACATTTTAATTACTTTAATTATAAACTACACTACGTTAATTGCATGCGAAGTGCATGTAAATGGGAAATATAAAAGTGATTATAAAGCCAAAGTTTCTGTCTACAAAATTGTATATGTCAATTTCAAAAATTGAATAAGTGATAAATGATTAAATGATAAAAAGGTAGTAAATATAAAAAATAAAAATTGAATAAGTGATAAATGATTAAATGATAAAAAGGTAGTAAATATAAAAAATAAAAAATAAATATATAACTAGAATAGTTTAATTCTAAATGATTCTCTGGTGAATGAGCATTATAACATGTTAGAGCATCAAGAGCCTATACAAAATCGCGAAACCAGAAGTGGTGAGTGCTCTTAAAAAGAAGGATCGAATAAACTCCCTTTTTTGTTAATAATAGGACCGTTTTTCAAATTCTTTGCTTTTCACATTATTTTTCTATCAATTGCCATGTTATCATACATATCTTCATAGTTTTCGTACTATCATCTTTATCTGTCTTGCATTTGATTCCTATCTCTTGATGGTCAATTTTACTATTAAAAGTAAGATTTAGATGGTGCTGAGGTGCTTCTATTTCATCCAAAATGCCCTCTAAGAATATTCCGATGGTGCTAGTCGAATCAGAAATGTTAGAAGTAAAAGAAAAACGAGGAAGAAGTGAAAAAAATATCATATATCTGCCTTTATTGTTTTAATTTATATTTTACTATGCATTCAAATTATTAAAGAATATAATAATTATTAAAATTTAGATCAAATTATTGAATAAACCAAGAAAAATATTAGCAAAATTTAAGAAGATTTGCTTTTTGCAATTCTCTTATATTTTTATATCATCAAAATAATATAAATTATTGTTTTTAAGCGAGTTTTATTTTTTTTTAAGAATCTCCGCCATTACTGGTTAAACTCGCTCCGCTGGCTTATCGCACTGGATAAATATGCTAAGGCAATAGAAGTATAATGTGAGTCGCCAGCATCACTCGGATTTTTGTACATCTTAGTTTTGTGGAGGATAGAACTTATAGAACTCAGCAACGGCGATCCGAACAACCCACTGAGAGCCATTTTATCCATGGCCAGAAATGATTAAGAGCCAAAATAATAATTTACTACCAATTTAATAAAGTTATGGAAAAAAAATACTGAAAGAAAATAAGCATACTGATACAATGGAAGTAATGGAAAAAACTTAACAAAAATTGTCGTGCTTTATTCTATTTTATGCTGAATGCTAATCATAACTGAGATTGAGATTTAGAAGCTTAGAAATTTTCTCATAGGTAGACCATTTGAAAATAAGACTCATTTGCGCAAAATATTCGTTTAAAATTATTTAATTAAAGGATCGATCTTAGCAAAACTTCCTATATTTGGCAATAGTTTTGGACCAGAGCCTGAAATTCAACTACGGTTGGTGAAGGGAATTGAAATAGCCGAATTAGACGCTGGCCAAAAAATAATCAAATTGAAGAAAACACTGGATCGAGATGAGGTATATACATTAAGGACATGGACACACTCTATTATAGAAATCTTGTATATAATAAAAATTTTTTCTCAAATAAATCGAAATTCTCTGGCCTATAGCCCATGTTGGTGTTTTACATTACCATATAATAATAACACATCATTTCTGGTTTGGCTGTCTCTACTGGCTATTGGGGCAGTTGGTGATGCCAGAGGTTCACTTGGGTTCATGTGGATCCTCAATATTCAGCACATTTAATTATTGATCATTTTAAATCACAGATTTATTCCCATCAAAGAACTTTTAATGATTGCCTGATCTTAATCAAAACAATATAACATTGGAATATATCATTATATAATTATTAATTCAATTTAATTCAATTTTTTTTATCAGGGTGAAAATAAATATGAACTGGTAATTGAATGCAAATCTCTTGTCGATGAAAATTTCCCACAGGTAAGTGAGAATTACTAATTTGCCTACGGCAAGTGGTGGAAGCTTTTCATGTTGCAACAAAGTTTGATAAGTGAATAAGTTGTTTGACAATGGAAGATAATTGATAAATGTGATAATTGAGTTCTCTTGAAATATTATCAGTATTATTATTAGGTTATATATTAATATTATTAAAAATATTATTCTATTAGAAATAAAGAAATGATCAATTCGTTGCAAAAACCAATATAATTTTTCATTGTATGTCAATATTTTAGCTTAATATTAGTACATTTGTCACAGTAAAGGACGTGAATGATAATGCGCCTCAATTTAGCGCTGATAGCTATTTTTTCGATCTTCCTGAGGAACTTCCCGTTGGAACAATAGTTTTCATGAAAATCAAGGTAAAAAAATGATTTTTTATGAATTGTTTAGCCTCATTACCAATGTTTGCCGAATTTTTCTTGAAAATTTGTTCAATTCTTTTCTTAATTTTAAGATACATTGCTTATTATGACGTTGATTTTCATCAAATTTCCTCTATTCCATGCAAAAATTTAAATTTGCAAAATTTAAATCCTACATTTTGCTTATTTTTTCATTCATTTTTTTTCCACAAAATCATTTTACGCTTTCTTATCACTCAGTGGATTTTTTTAATGATAAAACGCAGTAGCTGAATTGTTCAAATTATCGCCTCGAATGTGGGCTTCAAAACTTGCCTCTAACATGAATAAATTAGGTTACAAAATTTTGGTGATCCATTTGTACTTCTATTGCCAAATGGCACCAAGGGGAAAATTTCCTATCATTTTAAAGTCAATGAGAACTCAACCAGAAATGGTGGATGCTAACCACTCAATTTTTGCTTAATGATCAATTGATCAATAATCAATTATTTCCTATAGTATTTTTTAAAATGACCATAACAATATAGGCAACAGATAAAGATCAACTGGGACCGAATAGCTTCATAAACTATCGAATTTTGCCTAGTGAATATTCGCGATATTTGAATATTGTGGATCCAACGTCTCCTATTTTAACTGTTGCCGATCGCATCGATTTCGAGCAGTTGAAACAATTCGATCTTGTCGTAGAAGCTAAAGATAGTGGCGATCCACCTCGTTTATCGACAGCAAATATTCATGTTACAGTAACCGACATCGATGACCTTAATCCTATATTTCAACACGATTTGTATTATGCAACACCGCATTCTGTAAGTGTGTTCATTCCTTACTGTAAGTTAAAAACGGGTTTTTTAGTTGAGAAAATATTTTGAAAATATTTTTGAACATATTCATGCTGCACGAGTTTTTTTTTTGCGGCATGAAAAGAAACTTGTCCACAACATTAAACTGCAAAATATTGGTCACGTAAAATGAATTCAAAGATATATCCTCGATAAAACCGACTATTTTTATGTTTTATTATATATTTTGTTCAGTATAGTTAAGTACCATTTGAAACCTAAAGCTCTGAGTGATAATCGTCGTTTATCACCACGCTAAATCCTGCTATATTCTTGTATGACAGCCTAGATTCAAGAAGATTGAATTGACATTTTATTGGATTTGAGAAAATAAAGAGAATTGAAAAGAATCGCAAGGGACAGTGGGTTATACTCGAGCTCACGAGCTTGAAGAAGATCTTCTAACCGTACGACGAATCGTTTAACCAATTTTGTTATAAATATTTGAATTTTTACTGAATTTTTTAGCCATTTTGAAAATTTTAATTTTCTTATCTTCAAAATTTTTCTCTTTAGAAAGGAATTCTCGATGTATCACCGGAACAAATTTTTGCAATTGATGGCGACACACTTGGCGCTGCTATTGAATATTCCATTCATGGAGGTAAAATATCAATTTTTATTTTTCACTATTTTATACTTTTACTTCAAATCTCATTTGAAATAAATTAAAGCCAAAAATCAAAAATAGATGCGAATTAGTGGAAATAAAATGCAATTTTTGTATAAAATTTCCAAGAAAATTCGTAGAATTCGTTATTTTTATCGTTGCATTTCTACTTCGTGAATTCACAATTTCATTTCGTTCATTAAGTCAAACCACTTGTTTTGTGCAAATATTTGCATTCATTACATCCATCACAATACGATATTTTTATCGAATGAAAACGATGATATTTGATATGAATATATTTCTCGTTTAAAGATTGGTACTTGTAAATTCTTTATTACTCTCCAAATTTTTATGAATTTTACTTTAAAAAAAGAAATAATATATTGAAAATGAAAAATTACCATTTTTATTTTTATTCCACTTTTTTGGTACCTTTTTTGGTACCTTTTTGGTGCTTATAAGTTCTTTTAATGATGGGTGAAAGAAAATTTTTAAATAAAATAAAATGGTGAATTTCTCGTGGGTACTTAGGAAAAAAAATTTGTTAATTAAAGATTAAGTTTTTCGTAAAAATTACACGAGTATATATGATTTTTAGTTGGAAGTGAGAATTATGCGATAAGTAATCTCGGCGTTGTGAGAGCTATTAGCGACAATGTGCCGCCTGCGACATTAATCGTGAAAGTAAGTAATTTTCTTTTAAATTTTTTTAAATTTTATTAATATTTAATATTTATTTAATATTTTAATAATTTAGGCGATTTTTTTTTTTTTTTAGGCAAAAGAATTGAATAGAAATGAACGTTTCTCAATGACAATCTTAAAAATAGAGAATGAACAAATTCATTTCGACTTATCGCTATATTCAGTTAAAGTAAAAATATAAAAATTTTTTATTTAATTTAATATAAATATATAAATATTAAATATTAAAAATAATAAAAATCTTTTCATTTAATTTTTAATTTAAAATCAACTTATAATACTAATTAAATTAGAAACAAAAATTTTTCATGCTGTATTTTAAAATTTAATTTTAAATTTTTAAAAAAGTTTTTAAAAAAATGTTTGAAATCAAAACGTGGAAACGTCTAAAACTACGTTTTATCGTTTACATATTAAAAACGTTTGGTGAAAAAATGAATAGCTTTTTTTATTTTTTTGCGTGAAAATTTATCATGGAATTATTCGCCATTATTTTATTTTATATTTATTTGAATTTTTGAAAAAAATTAGCAGAAAATTAGAAAATTTAAAAATATATTTTGCAGTTAATGGACAATGTCGAACTTAATACGGAAATAATTAGGATTCATGCCATATCGCCAAATAAGGTTTTAGATTTAACTTTTAATTATTGCATGAGACAATTTGCTCAGATATCGTTCGTCTTCTTGGTTTCTCGTCGTTTTTTTGGTTTTTTTTAAATTCCATATAAGTGGTCAACGTTCACCATTAGGCTTCTGATTCGGCTTTCTTCATTGGTTGTTAGTCAAATAAGCAATTTTTTGCGAGGAAGGAGTCATTTAGGAATAGAAATACAGATGTGTTCCTAGCATAACCTTGCTTGAACCTATGCAATAATTGAAACAGTTCGCATATATCCAACAATCTTGTAAATATTTTTCTTTTAGGAAATAAATATCACCTACAATATTGAAAATCGTGAAGAAGCAATTGTAGATGTTGATAAGCTAACGGGATGGGTATTCATAAAAGCGCCGCTTAAAGATAAAAAATATTCTTATCGCTTATCAGCAACGGATGGAAAGATGGTAATATTTATATATTTAATGCGTAATGTGAAATAAATCACATAAAATTTCGTTTACTATTTTTGCTGGGTATTAAAATTCAAAATTATTTTTTAGACCAGAGTTTAAAGATTTCTATAATATAAAATGGTAGTTTAAAATTGCCAACAACTGTCGGCTATTGATGAATGGCGCAATCTAAAAACGCTTAGGTTCATCTTCAGCTCGATCAGAAAGGATAATCCTATATTGTGGAATATAGATTCAATATGTTTACCTTTTCTTCAATATTTTTAATATTAAAGCTTAACATCCATTTTTGGCCTTCATATGAGCAACAATCGCCCTTTCTAGTCCCACTGGCTACCAGAATAAAACTCCTCAGAGAATCACATAGGGATATAAATATAGTATGGGTATGCGTATCTCCCATTCGAATTTAACATAAGGCTTCATTCGCGGGAGTAAATTTGTCCAAAAATCCGAGTCTCTCATCTGTACTTCTATCGCCATGGGACTCTTTGGCATGCGATAAGCCAAAGAAGCGAATCTAATCAGTAATGGTGCAAAATCTTAAAGAAAAATAAAGCTCCTTTGCCTGATACATTAAGAATTTTCATAGCCAAAATTCTTCAAATAAAATATAAGAAATTCAGAAGGCATGGACACGTTTGGATATTGCAGTGGAAAATAATAAAGCACCAATTTTCGATAAAAATTCTTATTCATTTCGTATTGGTCAAACCTCTTCGATTGGAAGCGTTCGAGCTTCTGTTAGTGAAAATACAATAAAAGTAAAATATCGGCTCGCCAATTTGCAAAGGCATAATATTACAATATTATTACAATAATATTTTTATTACAATAATATTTATTATCGAATTCATTAATCAAGAAAAATGATCGTTTCGAATTAAAATCTAAAAATTGGTATTTTTATGAAAAACTAGTGCAACTAGTTATAACTGGTTTTTATATCCTTTTATTGTTGCCGAACGTGATAGATTTTCTTGATAAAGATTAACGATAACGATGAAAATGGTTTTTATTATTAGCTGTGATCGGAAAACATGGAAATTTACAGGTATTTTACGATTGATGACAATGGACAAATAAAAAAATTAATGAAACCACCGTTACCGGCTGAATTGGTGGTTATCGCTGAAGGTTTGAATGGCCTTCGCTCATTCACCACAGTTAATATTAGTCTTGATGCTATTCCAATTTCAACATTCACCACCGTTTCAGCAATAATTTTTGGAATTATCGTTTTATTCTCCATCATTCTTATTTTCATTGTTATTCGAAGGCTTATAAATATGTACGTTACGTGAATAATTTTTTTTTCACAAGAATCCATTTTTTCTTTTTTGTTTTTAGTAATTTTTAATAATTTAAATTTTAATGTGCTTAATTTAAAATTTAGAATTTATAAAATTAAAAATTAATAATAAAGTTTTGAGTTCGATTTTTTTATAGATGGCGACAAAAACATGTATGCTGGCTAAGAACAACTGGCAATAATTCAATTATTATGTCAAAATCGAAATCATTTGATAGCGGGTATTTTAAGAATTCATTATCAACTAAGTTTGTTTCTTCTCTTGTTTATCACTTCATTTTTTTTTCGTTTTTTATAATTATCAAACAATCCAAATTGCCTGGTGAATCGTATTCACCACTTGAAATAATTCTTAATTTATTTTTCTATTTATTATTCTTCTGATACAATTTAATAATATTTGTGAAATTTAATTAGCTCTATATTAGTTATTGTTTAATTAATATGAGATTCTCTTCGATTCGATATCAGCTATCACTAACACTTACAAATCATCGGTCCGCATTACCCAATACCACTCTTCGGATTTCACTTTTAATGAAAGGTTTACTTCAATCAAAAGACCTTTGAACCTATGATGAATTATTCTACGAGATGAATAGTCGAAGTCAACATCTTCTCAACCAATCTTATTAATTTTCTTTTTATATTTATTGAATTTTTGTTTTTAAATTATTATTAATTATTGTCTTTAGTGCAAAATTTTGATCCTTTTCAGATATCCTATCGAGGAAGAAAATGAAAAAAATCGAGATCTCGACAATTATATGAATAGTTCATCTTTTCCTGTATCTATTTCTCCATTAAGAACACTTAGTAATTTTCCAATTAAAACTACTCGATATTCATTTCAAAATAGTTAATTTTGTAAATCCTCAATTTCATCTATTATAATACATTTTTTAAAATAATACTTAATATTTGTTGTAAAATAAATAAAGAAAATAATAATATTTGAAAAAAAAATCAATTCGATATGATAAAATATAATATTTCGTGATAATCGAGTAAACGTTTTATCGCAAAGAAGTGATAATTTTATCTTCAAATACATCAAGAAATATCTATGAAAATATTAAAAAGAAAAAAAATTGAAAATAATAATGATAATTGACGAAATGGTTATAACAATAAATAAATATATACAAAACTTATAATACAGTTTTTCGATCGTTTAATTTTGCTCAATAACTATAAGGCATAAAATAAAACACTGGGAAGTAAAACAGGATAGAAATTTAGGAATTAAAAAAATCGGAAAAATTTCACTAAAGCGTAATAGGTTTTTTTTTGAACTTCATTTTAGGGCCTTAATTTTAAGGCTTCTCGTTGCGATTTAATAGATTATTAAGATCATTCAAAACAAGTCCTAATTCTTTGATAAACCTGAAAAAACATTATCGTACATATTGCAACAGTTTTTTCTTCTAAATTTCACAACGAAGTATCTTCTTGTACGAATGAAAATATATTTGGAAAATCTGAGTGGCGCCATCTACGCACTCGTACTTTCTACCGCTGATTTCCTAGCAAATTCGTCTGCTCGACAAGACAATGCACAGGGCCTAGCCAGAAATGATAGGTGCTCTTGGAATAAGAAAAAAAATGGTCCAGTGGAAAACCAAATTTCTATATTAATGCTAGGGCTCATCACTTCTGATTAGTTCCGCTTCGCTGGCTTTTAGTGAAGTTAGAACTTTTTTCAGGGAATCAGCTGCAAAGGCTCGAACTTTTTAACGATTCTAGTCGAATACACGAGTCGAACGACAGATTAGCCGTTTCATAATTTATTAAAATAGGATATATAAGCAAAGAAAAAAAAACACTTACTCTTCCGACTTTGTCATTTCATTGTCCTTAAATGTTGTTATTGCAAATTGTAACTCATTAGGTCGTGGATTGTAACAAATTCCATAGCAATCTCTTGCAGACGGTCCAAATGCTACTTGGATTTCATTTCTTGATGGAACCTAAACGATTACTAATTCGAGCAGTCAAAAGTTAGTGGCGAAAAAGCCATGACAGTTTCAAATATCACGATACATTTTAAGATAATATCGTAAATTTATTATTGTTAAACTCCAATAAAAATATTTTGGTGAGATAATGAATATCAAGCATATTAGTTCCACGATATCATAAGGATGGCTTTCAATACTATTAGTATTAACAAACAAAAATTTGAAGAACCTGGCTCGTTGATAAAGTAAAGTGCATCATTCGTTTGTAAATATCAGTTTCCAATATTCGCGGTACCTCGATATCTTTTTCTTGACAAATGAGACGCATAGCCAATAGATGCCGATCCATGCCATCTCCGCTTGATGCCTAAACTATTAAAAAAGCAAAAATAGGATTTTGAACATTGGACATTGTTAGAATAGGGAAATTCCGATATTCTTCTCAACATTTTTCCTATTTAACTTATTCCAGTGATTACTATGATAAGATTTTAGATTTACTTGGTGATAAGATTATGAATCTCAGCTGAAGAAATATCTAAGAATAAGCAATCGCTATTCCTTAAATTTCAAAAATTCGCACCTCAATATTATATTTCTTATGTTGTTGTATTGCTCCTCTTAGCATTTCGATCAACAAATTATGATCTGCTTCATCATCCGAGTTCACAAAATCTGTTATGAACATTGAAGTCATAAAGCATGGTGATCGAATTATCTCCGTACGACCTTCTGTAAATCGTCGAAGAGATGCTGTTTCATAAACGATGGCCAATTTTCGATGAATGCGATAATAAGCAGTTTGCATAGCTATTTGTATAAAGCTATCCGGACTAATACCATGATTTTTGATAGTATTTTTGCCAAACTTATCAAACTTATAAATTCTTACATCGAAATTCGATACCGATCTGAAATTAATTAAGAATTACGATTTTCTTGATGGTTTTGATGTTTTAATGCAAATAAATAAAGATATTTGAAATGTTCAAAGAATATATATAATTATATTTATTAAAAGTTTATTAATTAACTAAATATAATTATAGTTTTTTTAAAATTTTATTATAATGCAATTAAATTGGTTAATTTGACAAGAATAATTATAATTTTTCATTTTCCAATTTTTATAGAATAAAAATTAAAATTGTTGGAAATTTTACAGAGTTCCTTTCGTACAAAGAATTTTTGACTATATATAAGCGAAAGAAGAGTAATCGAGTGGTTATAGCTAAAATTCCGCCTTGAGCGCCAAAAACTGGTTTCTATCTCCGTGTGATACATGGAATCCACTTGTACTACACACTATCTCTAAGTGATAAGGATTTTTCACCGTATAACAGCAAGTGCATAGAATCTAAGCAGAACAGATAAGCACTAACCATCTACTTCCTTGCTTAATTTAAAGCTTAAGTATAGCTAAAGCAAAAATTTTAACTTGAAGAAACAAAACAAATAAAAATTTCTTTTTAATTATTACGATCAAAACCATATGAGCACTACGCAAGACTCGCTACCATAGAGAGCCTTTCTTCTTCTTCTAACAGCTCTCACCAGTACTGGTTAGGCTGGCTCCAACGGCTATAAGAATAAGACGCTTTCAAACGGTGTTTATATTTATCCTTTTTAGATAAATAAATCGTACTTATCAAAATTTTTTTTAGCAGTATCGACAGCCATTTTATCTTCTTCAGTCAACTCAAAATTTATTAAAGACGCTTTTTGTTGTGGCTCTGCTGATATCTGATCGAATTTTCCATCTTTCCTAAAAGTTATATTAAGTCATTAACTGATACCGAATATAAGGGCCTGAGATGATTTTTTCTTATAATAGTACAATAAAATAAACATTTCATCGCAAATAAAATCCATCAAATTAGCAATTGGTGGTGCTTCTGCAGGTGTATGTTCATAAGTGACACCACAGTAACCATCAGTACCGATTACAAACTGAAATTTCAATTCAATTCAGGTTCTTCATAAAATTAGATAACCCAATTCAACGAATCTCAGAAACCAAAAAAAAAAGACAAAATTCGAAAATGGTAAAAAAATATAAATAGGGAAATAAAAATACTACCACTAAAAATACTAGAAATCTTTTTTTATTAAGGGTCCTCACCATTATTGGTTAAATTCGCTCTATTGGCTTGTCGCATTGGACAAATCTGTTAGACAATAGAAGTATAGGGTGGATCGCCAGAATCACCCGGATTTTTTATAAAGATTTATTCCCGCAAGGAATCAAACCTCAGCGTCAACGTTCTCAATTGAGCAACAACCCACTGAGCCATTCTATCCCCACTAGTAGAAATCTAGCAATTAAAGAACCTGAATTGTTTTGTCGAACCATCGATTTGCTGAATTATTTCGTATTCCACCGCCATGAAGGCATTGAGATGCTTGTATGTCGAGATCAGAGGATTGATCGCCTATTTGCATTTTATTGTCAAGGCATAGTGTAAACAAACTATCTTCTATAATTTTTATCGCATCGGCATTCACTTCTGTAATTCTAAAGAATTAGGAAAAGACTTAATTATGCAAATAACAATGAAAGCAAATGGCTAATAATTCAAATTGTCATTTTAAAATTTAGTAGTTCAATAAGAACAAAAAAAAATTATTATCATTATTATCATTATTATCATTATCATTTAAATAAAATTAGTAATTTTAAGAACTAATATGGTTAAAAAATTTTAATTCATTCAATTATATATAGTCAATGAACCTTTTATGCGATTGTAAACTTCAGCCCAAGCATCACGACCTTCAGATGTCATAACACAGATTGGATATGGATTCGATTCTGAGCTAAGCGGTAGAATATTTTCCTTTATTTCATCTATCAATTGCTGAATGCCCAAAACTTTTCCACTTGAATTGAATATAGGAAGTTGAAAAAGCTGGAAATTATACATGAAATTATTTTAGAGATTTCCTAATGAATAGAATGAATAGAAATAACAAAATTATAAACTATAATCGTTTTTGTCTCAAATAAATAAAATTTTGCTATATTTTATTAAAATACTCTAAAATAGAATTCAAATTTTTGATTGAAAAATGAAGCGAAAAATGCTAAATTCAAATTCATAAATAAAATTGGAAACGCACATGACCATTTCGAATCACAATGATATGATTAGATTTCTTTTCTTTTCCATAACATATTTTGTCTTTAGCACATGCTGGTATACGAGTCGTACCAAATATTAACTGATATTGGCTCATATCAAGATGATAACCGTTCGATTTTTCTTGCGGTAATTCACCACTTTAAAAATAAATCTGATTGTAATTTTTTCATTAAATATTTCTTGTTTTATTGATAGAAATTAATCAAAGTAAAAAAAAAAAATGATAAATTAAAAAATAATAAAAAAAATTGCAAATATATAAAACGCAATTTTCAAAAAACTATAAAGGTATATATATTAAAAATAAAATAAAATTAAATATATCAACTGGCAATGTCAATTAATCTTTTGAGACTTTTAAGATGACTATTCTAATTTCAATTGAAACAACTGACTTAATGATTTTCTCATAAAAGCGAACAGCAGACTGAATAACTTTTGCTGCGATCAAAATTTGCCCATCAACACCCGAGTAATTCCACTTCGGAAATGTAAGACCTGGGCTGCTATTTATTGGTAGAGGTGCTCGATTTTTAAGATATGCTACATCTATCCACCATGGTGTAAGCTAAAAAACAATATTATCATTCTCTTAATAATTATTATAAAATATTTTTTTATTTAATTTAAGTATAAAGGACGGCCAAAATATCAGGTTCCATAATTTTATTTTTCTTTTTTTTATTCCAATATAGAGAAACTATCATTTAAAGCTTCTGTATTACTTTAAATACCTAAAATATATATTGGTGCTTATAATAATGGAACCATCCTAAAAATGCCAAGAAAATTAATGTTAATAAACAATCAGAGAATATTAATATTATTGCGTAATAATACTGATTAACCTTGAAATATTCCTTTAGAAAATAAAAAAATTACCCAATTTTTATATTTATTCGCTCGTTCTTCTAGAAAAGATTGTATCTTCTCGGCTATACCACTTTTATAAAATGTATTTGCAATCTAAATTTATTATACTTAATATATAATATATTAAAAATATAACATATAATAATTATCATATAATTTTATGCTTATTTAAACCTAAAAATAAGTGATAATCGAATCAATAAAAATTTAATAAGAATAAAAATACGAAAAGAAAATACTAGTGATAATAATGATAAAGAACCACAAAAAATAGAACAAAGGCTTCTATTTGTTCAAATTTCAAATATTGCATTTAGTTGTGTTAAAAATACACATATATAAAAATATTATTAAAAATATTATAATATTAAATATTATTATTAAAATTAATATTAAAAATATTATATTATTAAATATTATAAAATATTATTATAACGCTGGTTATCATTCTAATGAAAATGATAAAAATTCAGCAACCTCAATAGTTTTTTGATATTCATCGTCATTTTGAATTGGACGAGAGAATTGAATGAATTTCGAAATTGTATTGTGCAAAGAAGGCGCTGGATAAGTTGGTAGATCGACTGATAAAAAAAGTATTTATAAAAAAATGGTTTTAAATGATAATTGATATTTTTTTATTTTTTGCCTAAACATATTCAAAATTTGGCTATCAAAAATCAAATTTTTTCAAGAATTTAAGAATGATAAATAAACAAATGGTTTAATAAAAAATTGATAAATGATAAATTAACAAATTTTTTTTTCGCTCCTAAAAGAGAAATTAATATTAATAAAAATGATAAATTTAGGTGTTTCTTTAAAGAATTTAGGCGAACATAAAGGAACGTAAAGTTATTCGTTGCCATTTATATTTAGCCAATTATTAATTATAAAATAAAATCTAAGAACAAAATTTCGTGAAAAACAAATAATTTATAGGGAAAATAAAAAAATCTGCAATAAACGTTTTTTAAATCAGATTATATCCTTCTATTAACATTTGTTATTTTCTTATCACTTTATGGAATGGTTTTAGGAAAAATTTAAAAAAAAACATGATTAAACAAACCATAATTACGCTTTTCTGCATGATGATCAGCTGATAATTTGCGTAAGCTAACAGTTACAAGAGCGCTTCTACTGATATGCTCAGTTGTCCATAATGCTAAGCGATTCTTAAATATTCACAAATAAATAAATAAGGAATTATGCGAAAAATGGATTAAAGATGATAGAATATTATTTTGCTTTGATTACATCCATCCATCATTACAGTGTCGATTAATCGAAATAAGCTTGTGATTAAGGATTAAATCCAAATGCTACTGCTCATCCATATGTATTTTCACTTTTATCAGCAGTTGATAAGAAAGCGAAAAATCTTTGCTTTAGTAATAAATGATAAATGATAACGATGATAAATGATAGCAATCAAAAAATAATGTTTAAAAATAAATGAATGAAATGCAAATATAGAGGATTGAAAAATCAACGTATAAAATTATAATTTGCCTAAGAAGAGGGAACAAAATCGAAAGAATTATTCTGAAATATTTGAAAAATTGAGGATTATTTCAAGGATTGAATGACCAAAAAGTGCTAAAATTGGAATTTTTGAAAATATATAGGAGGAATGGCTTAATGACGAGACGAATTAACGTCATCGAGAAATGAGAATAGCCCGAGTTCGAATCCAGCCAATGCACCACATGGAATAGTTTAGCGGCAAGTTGATATATCATCGAGAAATAAGAATAGCTTGTGTTCCGCCAACGCACTACGCTTCGGTATCGAGTGGCAATATTGCCGAAAGCAAAAAGAAATATAGAATGGTTCAGTGGGTTGTTGCTCAGTTCGAAGCGCTTAATGTCCAATAAGAGTGAATTTGTCCTTCAAAAATCCAGGTGATTCTGACGATTCATCTATCATCAATTTCTCGCGCAAAAAGTTCGAACAAGCGATAAGAACGAACATAATCAGCAGTCATAAGCCTTATAGAATACAATAAAAACTTATCACTTGTTGATAATGAACAATAATGATAAGCAAAAATTTAAAAAATTTATTGTTAACAATTTAAAAAATACAATAAAAATATAAAAGTGAAAATTTCCACCGTTCTTATCAGATTCGAGCACATTTCACCATACATCGTAAATGCAAAACGCGTATTCACTGCACCAATTGTTTACAATGCCTGTAATTCGTGAATCGATACAAACATATTTATATTTATTATATTTATTAAAATAAAATCGAACCAATAAAAAATGAATAAATAATTTAATAATTTTATAATTGTATTAAAAACATATTTTTAATTATTATTCAAAAAATATTATAAATTAATAACAAAATTATAGAATAATAATCTAAAGGATTTTATGGTCAGAAACGTAGATCCCTTAGATTAGAATAATAATCTAAAGGATGGCCAGAAAGATGAACCAGAAAAATAATCTAAACGATTTGGATAGCCAGAAAATTTTTCCTACAAATCTAAAAAATATAATCTAATATTAACTAATATACAATGATAGCATATCAGTTATCACTTATCACTTCAAGTTAATCACTTTACAAGATTATCACTTCAAGTCTATGCATCAAGTCTATTTGATTCTTATGATTCTTGTTGAAAGGCGAAAATTATCCGTTATTAAAAAATCTGAATGCTAGAAATCCGTCAGATATTTATTTATATTTATTTCAGTCCACTCTCTGACGAGAATATTTCATTCTCAAACGAATTGCCAATGGAAGAAAACGAATGAGAAATGGTGAAATGGTGAGAGCCTCGGATTAACGTGTTGGATTGGATAGCGCAGATATTTTCGATTCACCAAATTTTAACCCTCTCGACATTTCAACAAATAAAATCAACGATCCAACGAATGAATGAATGTTTTAGTATCTTTAAATAATTGTTGATGAAAAAAATTCCCAAGCGATGTTTACAAATGAATAGATGACTGAATGTTTCTGAATGTTTCTATCCTATTTCTTTCTCGTCAAACTGGAAAATGTCACGTGCAATGTAAAATCGTATATTTGCCATCGCATTTGCTATTTCTATATGAAATAAGCAATAATTTTTCATAAAATAAAAAATTTATTATCTCAAATAAATAAAAAAATAAAAAAACTTAAAAATTTCCAAAATAAATTATAATGATAATGATAATCACCGATTATTATAATGATAATGATAATAATGATAATAATTATTATCAAACGGTTCTGATAAATTTATTACTAATTTATTAGCGAATCACTTTGGGATTGCAGAAAATTGCAAAATTGCAAATGGCTTTGTAGGCATTGGTTTTAATAAATTTGGAAAATTTTCTAAAATTTTCTTATTTTTTTAGGTATTTTTGAAAATTTTATTAATGAAAAAAAAATATTTTTTTCAATAACGAATAAAATTTTGAAATGGAAATTTTTTAAAGTGAACAAAAATTATAATTAGAAAATTATTAAAACTCATCTACTGATTTTCGAATTGAAACATCGATAAATAACTAAAATGAAATTTTTTTAAACTTTTCTTTTAAATAAATTAATCATTTTTCTTGAAAAAAATCAACCAATATTTTATCATTAATTTCTGCAATCAGTTTAATCGTTTAATCTGTTTAATCAAATTTTTCATCCATCAAAGTTCGAAAATTTAATACAAAATTTCAATATATTTATTAAAATATATATTTTTAATTTACTTATAGAAGACATTAAATTATTTTAGACTCTCTTCGAGAAATCAATACGTTATCACTAAAATTGACAACGAGAGATATCATAATTGACAGCGGTTGGTTATTAAAAAAAGAACTGGAAAAGTGTAAAGGTTTGGATTTTGCCTCTGATAAGAATTATCAAAAAAAAAATCTGGATGATTGCACTTTTATCGCCAAATGATACTTTCGTAAATATATTTCATACCACATAAATAGCCAAAAAATCGAGCCTAACCAGTGGTGAGAGATAATAACAACCTCTTATTTGCTTACAAAAAAGATTTATAAAATATCTCTGAATGAGACTTATTCCTATATTTAGTGATTTTCTAGGCTAATTTATCGAATTCTTCACTTGTGTATTTGGCCTCGGCATCGGAAAAGAATTATTATTGCCACTATTTTATTTTCATGGATTTGCAATCTTATTTGCAGTTTTTTTTAGTAAAAAATAAAGACCACATACGTATGAAAATTTTTAATATATTTGAAAATAAGTATAAAAATATTTTTTTAAAAAATTGCTCAAATGTTATTATTTTGACAGTTTCAAATGAAATAGATAAAAGAACCAAAATAGAAATTAAAAAAAAAAAAAATTTTACAGTGATTGAGCAAAATAACAATTGGCTTTTAAATGATTTATAAATCATTGAATTGTTGGTTCAATTTAAAACCTAAAATGGTTCAATTTTGGTTCTTCCTTAATAGAAATAAATCTATCGCTATCACTAAAGCTAAAATCCACGTAGTAGAAATCCACGTACGTAAAACTTATTTATATGTAGCCATAAAAAAAAGAACCAAAGGACGCAAAGATAAGAGAGACCTCACCTTCGTATTGAGCCAAAGAAGCCAACCGAAGCGGAAATAGGTCCTATTAAAAGAAGAGATAAAAGAGCAATGATGATTAGGACCGAAATAAATCCACTCGTTAGCCTTTTATAAATCTTTTTCTTCTTTAATCCTTCGTCTTCAGAGTTCACTTTCAATAATAATAAAAAATCAGAGCAACTGTTAGTTGGCTTTCTTTTCACTAAACCTCAAGAATTCTCAAACGCTTTTCACTAATCGTAACGAATAAATTTTATCCTTTAACATTCAATTTACTAATAAAAAATTTTATTTTAATAGTTTAATGAATTTTTTTAGTCACCAATTGTCACCAAATGTCACCAAATTTCTAAAATCTTTATTTATATAGAACTTCGAAGAAATTAAAATTAAAATTAAAAATTTTTTGAATCTTTCTCGAGTCACGAAGTGACTATAATAAAACTGATTAATCTGGATGTTTGTTGAGAGATTTTCTCGAATCACGAGGTGACAATAAAACTGATAAATTTGGAAATTTGTTGAGAGACTTCCTCGAGTCACGAGGTGACAATAAAATTGATTCATTTGTAAATTTTATTAAAAGCCCTTCCAATCGACCATTCTTATAAGAGAGATAAAGAGGTAATTCACAGAAAAGTTAAGAATTTTTACATAAAATTATAGTTATTTGTTGAAAATTATAATAAATTTCAACATTTTTCGGTATATTTTTCTGTTTATCGAAATGAATGCGAAGAAAAATTAGCTGTCATTTACTGTTTTAGTGTTGACAAAGTTGAAAACAAATTAAATCATAACTATGACTTGTTAGGATAGTTCCATGAACTATGAATCCATCATTTTCAGCCTGAGGGTAAATTAAATTGAGTTCCTTGACATTGATATGAATAAACCTGTTATTAAAAGTCAAATAAGAATGGCGATAAGGATCTAAACTTTTAATTATATATAGGAATGATTTCTATAGTTGATTATGATTCCTACCTTATGGAATTTATTGACAGAAAAAATATTTCAATTTTTTTAGGCAGTAAATTTCTTGGATGTAAAATTTTTTATAAAAAATTTTTAACCCTTGGCCACAATTTGAATGATGCTGAATGGCCTACACCACTCTAGGCTGCATTCTTATCACAATATATCACATTTTTTGCTTGATTGCTTGAAATAAATAAATATTCCGAAGAGATTCTCTGAGAGGTATAGCTAGAATAAGCTCAACCAGTAATAAATGCTCAACCAGAACAAATTTGTTTTTGATATAAAAATAAATTTGCTGACAGGAAAATAGGTAGGTACCATGGTCCAAATTTTTAAGAAAAGAATATTTTCCTCTCGCCAGTAATAACGTTATAATATAAGTTATAATATAATATAATGATATTGTAGATTAAATCTAACTGAAAAAGTTTGGAAAATAAAATATAAGGCCTTCAGGCCCAGGCTTTTTGAAGATATTGCTCGAGTACCAAAATTCTTCTCTACTCGTCCAGGTTGGAGTTGGCGAAAAGGGTACCCTTATTCTTATAAGATTACCAACAACTGAAATTTATTTCTTACAGTTTGAAAATTTTATATGGTACCAAAACAAATACTGCATATTTGCATATAATTTTTCCCCCTCTCTTTTTTTCATCTCTTTCTTTTTTCTCTCTCAACTATGCACCTTCTCACATCAATCGCACATTTATTTTTCCTTTAGAAATCTCATCCTTTTCAGCAATATCCCCTCTCCTCTCCCCCGTACTTCACACCCTAGCAGTCATGATTGAAGCAGTCTAGAATTCATGATCTGGAGAAAAGCATTACTATTTGTCGAATCAAAATGTAAAATTCAGCTCGGATGTGTTGCTATAAGCCGGAGATAAGTTATCGGGTTAGTTGGTATTTTGATGCGGTTCGCGAATTTCGCTAATTTTGCTAACTTCTCTGCCTTATATTTCATTTTATTTTAATAAGCTTGAGCCTCGGGGCACAAACTAAGAGCCCCATTATTCGCATTATCCACTTTCAGGCCATTAAATAAATAGCCAAGTTTCGCGAGAATTTTTAAGTATAATTTTAATTTAATTTAAATTGCATAATAAAATATTTTCTTCGAATAAAATTTTGCCATATAAGGTGAAATAAATTATAAAATTTCAGAAAGAATTATGAAAATTCAAAAATTGCATTGTGCGGTGCAATGTTATGATTGGGGATGCGTTGGTGAATCGAGCCTCGTCGCAAATCTTAAAAAATCGGCCGATAGCAATTTTATTATCGAAAAAAAACCCTATGCTGAGGTTAGTCGTTTTTTTCGATTTTTTTTAACCTCCTGGCAAGTTAGGGATTTTCTCGTAAAATTAATTCTAAATTTCCAGCTTAATATTAAGCAAATAATTTGAATTGGTGATTGATTGATTAAAAACGATTAACGCTTGGTTCTTCGATTAAAATGCACTGGCGGTGTCCCATGATTTTCTTTTTTCTAAGAGTCCTCACCATTACTGGTTAAACTCGCTCCACAGGTTTGTCGCAATTGGGCAATATGTTACGGAGTCCCTTGGCAATACAGGTGGGTCGCCAGCGTCATCCGGATTTTTGTGCAGGTTTTGTGCAGGGAATCGAACCTCAGCATCGGTGCTCCCAATCGAAGAATAACCCATTGAACCATTCTATTCCCTATAATGGGAACGTAACCTTTATGTTTTGGGCTAAAATCTATTTTGTGTTGTCAAATAAAAATTCACTGGACATGTGAAAATTCATTCGGTCAGTGTTCGCACTGAATTAAATTGAATTGTTTTGATTAAACCAAAAACCAAAACCAAACCAAACCAAAAGAGATCAAAATTGAAATAATTTGTTTGATATTTTGGTTGTCTTAAATATTTTTGTACTCAGTGTTTGCCATGCATTTTTCGTTGAAAATTCATGTTTTCATGATTTGTTTCGTTCAAAAAACATTTGTGCCAAAAGCATTCATTGAATCAAGCGACGTTTTCACATAAATCCTATGGAACAAAAAATTTGCTATGCGTGTCCGTAATCCAGCGGGGATATTTATTTCAATATTGTCAATAAGAGACAATAATATTCGCTACCTCGGAGAATATTTATTGACCTAAAATAAGCAAAACAAGAAATGTCTGTCTGAGTCACGTCAAACCCACTGTCTTATCAATTATTGTTCGAATTTCGGAGAATATTGCAGTAGGGCTTCCACAATGCATTTTAAATATGGAATGGAAACAAGCAAATTATTTTTCTTCTGATAAGAAATTCGATTAATAATTCGATTAATCAAATAATCGAACTGCGCAAAGAGTGAAAGGGAAAATTTAAGGCAGTATATATCTTTAATGTTCCAACAAAAATAAAAAATAACTTATCGAACAAAATCAGAGGGTCATTTACTTCGAACTCATAGCTCTTTAAGCATTCTTATTCTCACCATTTCTGGCTTGGTTAGTTCCACTGTTTACTGAGAACTGTTGCCTCTTACTTTTATTCACAGGTTTATTCCTAGCAAAAAGTTTAAAAAAGAATTGTCGCTTGATGGCACTTGGGATAATTAAACCATTGTCACTCCAACAAATATTTTCTTTTTTTTGAAATTTTTTAAATTATTTATTTTCTTTTTTCTCTTATTTTTTGTTAGAGAAATTATTGGAGAAAATATATGCTCCAATTAAAATATCTATTTCTGTTAAGTTTTAACTTGTTGGTAAGATAATAGAGAGTTTGCTAAGGGAGTCAGTTAGTGACAAAATTGCACGGTGGATCGCCAGTAGACCGCCACAGGCCAGATTTTCAATGGTAAATTTATTTCTGTCAATGGTCTGAATTCTGACTCTGAAGTCGTTAATCTGGCAACAACCACTTCTAAAAGTATGAAATGAGATATTTAAAGATGTGGATGGGTACTCATCGAAATGGACCATCATCGATATGTTCAACTAATATGCCACTTGCTGAATATATTTCAATCAATAAAACTTCGTTAGCTGAACATGAAAATGGAAATATTGGCTTCCTGTTTAAGGTTCTTTCGGTCAATAAACCATTATCGATTCAGTCGCATCCAAACAAAGTATAGTTATCAGACTTGTTATCATAAAATTATAGAAATTTTTTAAAATTATAAGAATTTTTTAAAAAGGCTTTTGTTTTATAGTTTTATCTTCAATTTATTTTGTTTTTATTCCTTTTTAAGGAAGAAGCTAAAGTTTTACATGCTAGAGATCCAACCCATTACCCGGACGATAACCATAAACCCGAAATGGCTATCGCTCTTAGTGATTTCGAATTGCTTTGTGGATTTCGTCCATCGAAGGAGATTTACGACAATATTAAAAGTTTGTGCATTTTAGTAATTTATAAAATCTCAATTTTACTTTTATTTATTCTGAAATTCATTAAATTATGCTGAAGTTATACAATTCGGTTTAATTTATAATTTCTTTTTTAATTTCTTATTTAAATTCTATAAATTTTAATTTATTAAGTTTTTTTTAGCAAAACCCACGAAGCTAAACTTATTTTCACCTTATAAGAAAAAATTTTATATTTAAAAATTTTAAGGAAATCCTGAAAATCATAATGGAGATGAATACACCCAAATTTTCATATTAATCTGTGTTGCATTGTTCAGTTGTTCTATAAGATTCGTAGATAATCCAACTGGAATATATCAATGACTGTTTGTAAAATTCGCTTATTATCTAACCTTACAGAATTTCCTGAATTCTCAACGCTTATAAAAGATATTAGCTGTATTGAAAGATTAACTGATTCAAATGAAGAAAAACAACGTGAAGCACTTAAAATTATCTTCTCGGATATGATGAATTCTGCAACAGATGTGATTTCTACAGCTATTAATTCTATGGTTGAACGTCTTAAAACAAGTTGGTCGAATTTTTTAAAAATATTTCATTTTTCTTCGATATTTATTTATTTTTATTTTTGATGTTTTTTTTTGATTGACGAATTAAATTGAAAATTTAGAAATCAAACGACTGAAATTTCATCTAAAATTATTTTTTAAAATTCCATCTTAGAATAAATCAGCGTTTTAATTTGAAATATAGAGAGATTAGTGAATATTTCTTAGCGAATATTATATTACTTTTGGGATCATTAAATATCATTGGCTTTTATTTGGATCTTTTTATAATTTGGAAGATAATTTTATAATTTAGAATTCATCTAAAATAATGTATTTAAAAAAAAAGAAATTGTAGAAGAAGATGAAGATTAAAAAAAATGAATTCATTAAAACATTTGGCGTAGAATTGAATTTTCCAATTTTCTTGCTAATTTTATGGTAAAATATTTAATTTTTATTAAATAAAAACAAAGAATTTGAATAGAAATTAGCAATTCTTTTTTTAGATAAATAAGTGCAGTTTGTTGAAAATGATTGAACTGTTTCTTCAGAAGGAACGCATTCATCTTTCGATAAATTACTCCTTCGTCTTAACTGTGAATTTCCTAATGATATCGGTGTTTTTGCTCCACTTTTACTTAATTATTTCACCTTAAAGAAAGGCGAATCAGTATTTCTAGAACCGAATCAACCGCATGCATATCTGTTAGGCGGTTAGTTCAATCAAATACTATACGAGCAAATGAATCATATATATGTTTCGAAATTAATCCAAACTATTCAAAAATTTATTTTATTCATTTCAGATTGTGTCGAATGTATGGCTTGTTCAGATAATACGATTCGTGCAGGCCTTACTCCAAAGTTTAAAGATGTTAAAACATTAATTTCAAGTTTGTCTTTTAAAATGTCTCCTCCACCTTATTTTCTAGCAAAGAAATTGCGTCCAGGACTCGTCGAATATCGCCCTCCAGTAAAAGAATTCGCCGTACATGAGATAAAGGTAGAATTTGTTTTCTTTCGCAAAAGCAGCGAATTTCAAATCCATTTTCAGTTCCCAGTTTCGTTTTCAAAGAATTTTATATGTTTTGGAAGAAGTGCCCGCCATTCAACCTTTCTTATTTTTTTATTTTTTTCAGCATGACTTTGATGGATCAACAGATATCGGTTCGAGTAGCATATTAATTGTGATTGATGGAAAGGCAAAATTTGTCGCTGATAAAGAAGAGATATTTGTTAATAAAGGAGAAGTAGTTTTTCTACCAAATAACGCTTTTGTTTCCTCGATTGTTTCTTCAGAAAATTTCTTGGCTTATCGTGCTTTCACTCCATTAAAGTAATTGCACCAAAATTCGCACATATATTTCATTTTTTATGCAAAAACCTAACCGATTCAACATTTGCAGTCAATAAGATTCTTATCATTAAGTTTTTAGGAATAAGGAATTTTTGAGAAAAAAAATAAATGCCTCTAGGATCATTATTATTAGAATGCAACTTTCTTGTGTCAATCCAATATTTAGTCGTTAGCACTTAATTCATTTATGCAATTTTTTCATTTTTTTTATCTTTAACTTCAATTTAGTTTGATTTTATTTATTATTAACCATTAATATTCCTTTAAATAAAATATTTGATTTAAATCTTTTCGTTCTGAAATTTTAAAATTTTTATCCATAAATCTTTTCGAATTTAATATTATTTGCAATTCTCAAAATGTCCAAAAAACTAGTATTAATCCTAAGCGAATGCACAATCTATTATTTTCTTTATGTTGATTCCCATGAGATGCATTTAAAAATTTATTCAAAATTCCTCAATAAAATTTTACCAAAAAAGTGACCTTTTTACTGTAGAATTTAGTATGAGAAAAACCAAAAAGGTGAAACTGCAAAGAAAAATAAGGTAAAATGGGACCGGTTTCGGACAAATCTGGGCATAACATACGTGAAAAGAATATATGGAAATGAAAAAGGCGCGAACGGACGCAGGGTTGGGTCGGGAAACGCGCAGACACCGAGAACAAAATTAAGGACTAAAAAAGAAAGACAGGTTTCCTTCTAGACGATAGACGACGATAGAATTAAGTGGATTAGACTAGGTGACATCTAGATAAAAGATATGAGAGAAAAGATAAGAAGCATAAAGAAGTGATAAGGCCGGAAATCTAAAAAGTATAGAAATTATAAAAAATCTTATTGAAATTATTAGAAGATTCTTTTGTAAGACGAAATTTTCAGATGTTCAAAATTAAAAATAATAAATAATAATACGCACTGGTGGCAAGACAAAAAACAAAAAAATGAAGCTCGACCACTTTAAAAATTATTCGATTTTGACAAACAACTAGAACGGTCATAAAAGAGTCGATTGATAGACGAAAGGAATAAGCTAGAAAAAGAATTTAGGCACAAAAAAATACGAAATGAGAAACACTGCTCCTTTTTTGTCATTCACAAAATAACTTATTTGTTTTTGGAAATAACCAACAAGAATTTTTTAATAAATTAATTCGCAAGAAAAAAATAAAATGAATTTAGAGGTCAGTTTACTTTTCTTTTATGATTTTTTATCCAACAATTATTGGAACAAATTTTGCTGCATTAATTGTTTGCGCGGATAATTTGCATAAATTCCATAGTTTTAATTTTTAGGCTAATACGGATTTCCGCTTCTTTAATCTGAGAAACATCAAACAATAAAAAATGGCAAACTTTCAAGAAATTTTTGAATAATTCTTCAAAGACTGCTACGCTGAGCAAATTTTAAATGATTAGCTAAAATAATTAAAAAAATTTAAAGATGCAAAGATGAAGAAGGAATAAAGATAACGAATCGGTAGAATTTAAGTACCCACCAATTATAAAAAAAATCTATAGTTTAAGTGTTAGCAAATAAAACATGCCCAGCAATACCCGCACAAACAAAGCAGCAAAAAAAAAATAATTTTAAATAATTTTGGGAAAATTTTATGCTTCCTGGGCATGCTCTAAAAAATTTCTGAGAATTCAAAAAAAATTTGCACAATAAATTAAATTATTAAATTGTACACAACTGAAAATGAATGACGATTTCTCCAAAAAATTCTCAAAGACGGCGGAATATTATGAAGCAACAATCCAAAGAATGAATTGAAACAAAAGAAGGACTTGGAAAAAGTGAGTCTCGCGCGTAATTGGGTCAACTCATCAAAGGCCTAGGGATAAGGTCAAAGGCTTGGAGGGAGTCAATGACGACTTTTTTCATCGCAACAATTATTTAAACGTTACTGAAAAGAAAATCCGTCCGCTGGGATCGATTGTTCCGAATCTAGAAAATTCATACTATTCTGACCTTCCTCCACTTCTGCTTCAGAAGAGAAATAGGTGTCAATAATGTTATAAGCGAGCTTATAAATATCTTCATTTTCGTGTTCTTGCAAATGTTCAATTTTATCAAGACCTGAAAAATTACAAAATTATTGAATTTCCATTTTTGCGATGTAAGGAATCGTATAATATTTGCTAATATGGTTTAAAACCCACAAAAAATAAAAATAAATTGAAATGATAAATAATAAATTTTTCAACAAAATAGCAAAACAGTAAAAAAATTTACCACCACACTCTTCAATTAACGCGCAAATCTGCGAAGTTCGTGGACCAGCCATTTTTAGAACGTTATTAAGTCCATCAAGAATAACTTGAACGATTTGCGAGTCACGAATGGTCAACAGATCACAGAAAGGCTGAATGAAACCTTGATTAACCATATAATCCACTTGATCAGGTCGACCACTAATTGTTACATTTGATACGGCCCAAGCTGCTTCCTAAAAATGGATAACACCATACTATATGATGTATTCAATATGCTTTGAATATGTAATGTCGAAGACAGCCTCAGTAAAGCACAATTAAATAAAAGTAAAGCAATCTGCACAAGTGAAAATCAATGCGGTGAACATAATTGAAACAACTTTCTCAAAATAACAAATATTTACACATAGCCTCAAGTTCACATAACTTTCATGTTCAATTATTCCATGAATTCCATATATTCTAATTTTAAAAAATTAGATTTCGTGTGACTCAATCCGATGTTTCCCGAACAAAACATAATTTAATAATATCATAATTGAAATAAAAAATACTTTTTGAGTTTGAAAATCTCCACTGCATAAGAGATTGATTATCAATGGTATTAGATTAGCATCAATAACTGCTTGCACCTGAGACTGATTCCCAGCTGTGACATTAGAAAGAAACCAAGCTGCTTCCTTAAAAAAACAATTTAAAAAATATAAAAATTTATTTTAAATAAGAAAAATTAAATGCAATCTCAACTACTTTTTCGAAAAAATCTCAATAAAATTTGGACAATAAAAATTTAATAAAATAAATAGCTTACTTTGTTTATCTTTTCTTTGTAATGTGTAAGCAAAGCAGGCATTTGATTAAGAACGCCACAATCAAGCACACGTTGTGTTTGCTCATCAGTGCCAGTGACAATATTACCAACAGCTCGTAATGCAGCTGTCTGTACCTTAACCTCTGGATGCGAAAGTAGTGGAACTAGATGGGCAACCACCTGAAATAAATGCCTCTTTAAAAAAATTAAATTCCTTAAATTTAAATTTAGGGACATATAACTGGACAAGAATAAAGAAATCCATTTATTTAAGAATAGAAAAACAAACACCGCTATCGATAACCATCTGTATTTGATCGTTACCACCATCAGTTAAATAAGATATCGCCCAAACTGTATCAACAATGATACTTTGATCAGTATGATGAATGAGGACTGATAATGCCGGCAATAACATTCGCACTAATTCCGTTGACGGTGGAGGATTCTAGAATAAAAAGAAAATATAAAAAATTATCGATAAGCCATTAAATAAGACTTGTTATTAGAGTTGGAAAAGTAGAGATTTCTTATACGTTTCTCATTCTAAAATAACACTGAATGATGGAGCAACCGTAAAAAAATTCTTCAGTTTACAAAAATCACATCACATTTTTACAAAAAATATTGCCATTTTTGAAGATGTTTTCAAGATAGATCAGAATCAAATCAAACATTTTTGGAAAATTTGAAAATGGAAAAAAGTGAGAGCTTAACTCAAAATATTTTAATTATAGTTACACGAATTGTTACCAAATTTCAAAGTTGTTATTGCTAATAAATTATCTATATCCGAGATAGAAAAAACTTAGGAAAACCTATTGATTTATAATTCAATATTTTTTTCCAAAAGAATTTTTTGTAGCTGAAAATCAAGAACATAAGAAAGTTTATTAAGAAAATCAATGAAATAAAACCGCCCCCTTTTAGAAAAAACTTCAAATATAACTCCATTACTGAAACGGAGCGTTTGGGACAATTCGAAAATTGGCGTTAAAGATATAAATTTTAATTAGAAGTAAACATCATAGGCTAAGTGAATTTTTCTAAAAAATAAGAAACAAAATTAAAAACCGCTATTAAAATGCTATTTTGAGAAAAAGAATAATCCAGAAAATTTCTAAGGTAACTAAAATTCATTTCTCATATGCCCTAAGCAGTGATGGTCAATGGAGACTAAAGATAAATTAAAATTCTTCTATTTAATTTTTACCTTAGATCGACAGAGATTAACAACAACCCAAGTGACATTACGTAAGAACCCAATGGGAATTTCAGGTGTTATAAATTTTAGAAGAGGCTCCATTATTCCAAGGTTCACGCAATAATCACGGAAGACAGGTCCATCTCCTAAAAATATTTGGATTTATGGTGAAATTAAATTCGAAAAAAACCTACTCGCTCGCAAAGTCAATAGTAAAATGAAAATAAAATTTTAACCAATGATATTTCCAAGAGCCCACACAGCCTGCTCACAAACATTCATATTAGACGACGTAGAAAGTAGCTCAAGAAAAAGAGGCACAGCGCCAGCTTTAACAACCGCTTCAGTTTGTTGCGATGTACCAGATGCAATATTTGTTAGAGCCCAAGCAGCTTCGAATTGTAAATTTACGCTAAAAAAATGCACATAAACAACTAAAATCAAATAAATTGCCTGAAAAGCAGGATAAAACAAAAAGGAATCCAACCTATGAAAGTTTAAATGGAATGCTATAATGGAATGAAAGTTTAAATGCTATAATGGTTACGAGACAAATTTCGAGAAAAAGAAAAAAGTACTTTTCCGATTTCAAGCAATTGATAAGAACTGGCAGAATGCCGGACCCAATAAGATCATCTATAGGTGGATTGCGATCGGAAGATAACAGTTTACGCGCCTTAAAAAATAAATAAATTTAGACAATGAATTCTAATTAACAACCTTATCAAGCTAAGCATTTGTTCCAGAAAAAAGATTTTTATTTTGCCAGCATTCATCTTAATTTCACTGATTTCAAATCGCTATGAAATAAACAAGTGTATAAAAGAAAAATATGCGCAAAGAAAACTTCAAAGAAATATTATTTCAATTAATCAAAAAAAAAGGCAATTTTTCTCTAATAAAAATTAAAACTATTTTCAATAGAGAAAATTATATGATATGAAATAATGCCTGCTGGACGGCATTCATTTGCTCGACAAGATCAGTACTTTGTGCTTTAGTTACTATTTCCATCAATAGATCTTTATCATATGCAACATTGGGAGATGATATAGCACTTGTCGAAGCATCATCCGAATCAACTCTTCAAATATTTCGTAATATTTACAAAAAAAAAAAATTTTTTTTTATTTTTCTCTCAAATATTTGCCAAACATTGAATTTATCAAATCGAAAAAATTTTAAAATTTTAAATTTTAATAAAAAATCTTTTTTGGATTCAAAGAAAAATTGAAAAGAAAAACAAAATATGGAGCTACTAACGCGGAAGGAATATTTCGACGTTTCGACAACGTTTCTTCACGCTTATCCTTTCGAATATTTACAATATTCTCAAATCGACTTTTACGTAATGCCTCGCTATCCTTTCCAACATTTTTGTATTGCACGTGTCTCGAAGCCATTTCTGTGATATATTCAAGAAATATATCTGAAAATTCGATAAATTCAATAAATTAATACAAAAGAAATTTATGGTAAAAAAAATGATAGGAAAATTTAAATTAATGAATCAAAAATAAGTGCACTTTAAAAAATAATTGCGCTTAATATTCGACGACATTTCCTCTCTAAAAATCTTAGAATAATAATGTAAAGATTACTAAGCAATTCATTAAGTGACGATGTTGCTCAAACTCAACATGGCTTCGCTTCCTAATCTTAAAATGTGGAGAGATGAGGGGAGAGGGAGGGATGGGAAGAGAATCTGACAATAAAAATGAAGCCCGAGTAAGTGCAGCATCAGATTTTTTACCTATTTCTACCTGATTTTTACCTATCATTAAGCAATTCGTTCACGCGGAGATTTTATTCACCAAATTGAGCAAAAATCGACTAAATCAATAAAACAAAAGTAGTGAATTCAAGAGAATACAAATATTTTATAAATAAGAATAAACACATAAGAGAAAAAAATTAAATGACCTTTAAGGGAAAATTTTTTCCTTTTTTCTTTTTTCTTAAATTTTAATTTGAAATAATACTTTGATGAAATATTTTCGAAGTGAATAGTGGAATTTCGAAAAATAAAATAAACGAACAATATTAAGCAAAAAAAAAATTCATAAAAATTATAAAAGAATATTTAAAAAATTTTAGATATAAAATTTATATATAAAATTATTCTCGCTGAAGAATCATTTTTACCCATAAATAAGTCTGTTTGTTATGAAATTTTATGCAAACCACTACCAACGTTTCGTCAATTCTCCCCTGCCACCATCCCTCCCACACCCCTCACCACGAACACACCAAGACACATCCTTCACCCTCACCCAATTACACCAAGCACTCGTGAAACGAGTGGATGAGACGATACGCTCATCTTTTGTACCATTGCTTATCGCTAAAATTCAGTCGAGGCGGATCGGCAATCGACCGTAGAACAGAGCCCGCGAAATAAATTGTTAGTTAACTCGGCAGATATTTTTTTAAGTACCATTATTATTAGATGAATAAAAATAGTCGTAGTGTTGATGGTGGTCGTCTGGTTTCACGGGTTAGGTGGGGGTTGATGGTTAAGATAGGTCGCTGATTTGTGGCCTATAGGTGGCAGTCGATTTACATTACTTCAATTAACCTGCTTGAATGAAATTTATGGGCGGTAAAAAAATTAGAAAATCGTTCAAAAACAACAAATAATATGAAATAAAATACCCAAACAGGTAGTGCCTGGCCGACTGCACTCCCTAATATCCACCTAAGGCTCGTTATTCCCCTTGAAATCCATTCGAATCCTCCTATACCGCTTTAATACTCACCATATTCCCATTATTGCCCCTCCACTTCTTCCACGGTTCCCCCTATATTTTCCTTCATTGATAACCTCAAACGTTTTGGCTAATATCTTACGATAACTCATTTAAAAAAAAGCACCTTAATCCTTGCACTATCTTAACCATCGAGATCCCATTAATGTTCTTTAGCAACTTTTCAGAATGGTTCAGTGGGTTGTTGCCACATCGAAGCGCTGATGCTGAGGCTCACCGCAGGGGTAAATTTGTTCAAAAGTCTGGGTGATTCACTTCTATCCACTTTTATCGCTAAGGACTCCCTGGCATATTTGTAGATGTGCGATAAACCAGCGGAGCGGAGCGGATCTAACGCGTAATAGTCAAAGTTCTTCAAAAAAAACAATCCCTCAGAACAACTTCTTACGACTTTTCGTGCTTCAAATCCCTGTATAATTCCTCTTATTGGACTTTCTTTTGTTATAATCAGTCAGTTTTCCATGAAAATACTCCATGTTTGTAATGCTTTCGAATTTTTGGGACACTTTGTGAACTTTGAAAATCTATTTTGCATGTTTTACAATAAACATCCTCAATGCTTGATTCTCCAAGATGTCTCGCTATACTTCATTCATAACATTATTATAACCCATGTTTTGCCATCATCTATTAGTAATGTCATTCTTCAGACCCCGTTTTGCACACGCTTGTAGTACGTCCTGTCTCGTAGTTAATTTCTGGCTTTTCTGGTTTACAGATTGCAGAAAGAAAGATGATTTTAATTGAACAAGGGTATGGGATTCAGAAGGTGATGGGAGAGGAATTTGAGCGATCTGGAAGGAGTACATCGAAGTACATCGAAGTTGGAACACAAGGATAATACAAAGTTTTGCAAATACCAAAGGATATGGTATTTATTATAATTTAACTACCTTTTTTAATGTTTCAAATAAAAACTCGATCGAAACCAGAAATCTTTAAGGAGATTGAAAATATTCACCATATTCACCTATATTTTAATTTAAATAGTGTAAATAGGCCAGGTGTGCTGGTTAATTAAAAAAATCCGAATTTTTCAATAGCAAATTCATCTTACTGAAAACGAGCTGAAAAAATTATCGTGAACCTCAGGAGTCACGAAGCTATTCTTGAGTCATTTGTTTTAAAATTTTGAAAAAGAGGAAACCACGAAGCAAACCCATATTTAGAAATAATCCAGCAAAATAATATAAAATTAAATTAAAATAATGGAACTACAAAAATATATAAATATAAATAAACATAAATAAAAGATATAAATATAAATATAAAATATAAATAAATATAAATAAAAAAAATATAAATATAAAATATAAATAAATATTTATGCATAGAAATCACAATTAAAAATTTTAGAAAAAGTGGAATTTCAAAGAAAGAGAGTTCTTTGCTGCTTAGGAATTTTCAATTTTTCTCTCTTAGATTCGATTCGCTCATTCCTTACAAAAAAAAAAAAAATTCCAAATTCTATTTAAAATTTTATTTAGGTATTCAGAATTTGTTGCAAACCTTATACCATATAGGGGAATTTAAGCTCGTCAAGGATGTCTAACGAGGTTTGAACGGTTATTTCCACCTAATAAGGTTCAAATACCTAATTTAATTTGGATTTAAAATTAAACAAATTTTCAGGAATGAAATTCATTGTATTATATTTAAATAATAAATTGATGATTTTATTGAAAATATATTTTAATTATATAAAATATATTTTGATTAAAATATATTTTAATCTTTTTGTGCTTTTACAAGTAACTGAAGTAAAAATTTATTATTGCTTATAAATTAAACTAAAAAGTGGTAATGCTAGCGGTCGGGGAAGGGCGGTCGAGTGACACTTTGTTTTAATTAAAGTTAAGCCATGATAAATTTGTTTCCCGCTTATTAACGGGAATTTGAGTTAAATGAAATCTTGGTGAGTCGAGGGATTTCCTTCCTTCTTCTAACAGCTCTCACTATTACTGGTTAGGCTGGCTGCAAGGATAAGACGTTTCCAGGCTGTGCAATCTAATACCATCACCGGCAATAACAGAAGCCATTTCTTTTTCCATCGTCTAAGTCCAAATATTGCTGGTCCAACTAATCCAAAATCTTTTCTGAATGTATCAGTCCAGGTTTTGATTGATCCACCTTACTTTTGGCGCCACTCATCACACTGTTTAGCAAGTAACGAAATATGCCTCAACTCCTGACGTGGACATAGAACGTGCTCTAACCAATGAAGGTGACTGTGATAACATTATCAATGAAAGTGGTATTTAATGAGGATGGATGCGGCCATGTGATATTTTATCTGATATTTTATCCGGTCGACGGACCCGTAAAATATACCTTAGACAAGAGTGGTCAAAGGCAGATAACTTCTTAATATCCTCCACTCTCATTGGCCATGTCTCAGAGCAATATACCATATCGAACGAATCACGTCTATATAGATGCTGACTTTCGTTTTTATGGTGATTTCGCGACGGCTCTATAAAGATTTCGTCAACCGGAAGAACGCATTTCTAGCTGCCGTTTTCCAGGTTATTATTCTGTCTTTGGCCTGGTCATTTGCTACTACAGTGGATCCAAGGCATTTTAAATCGGGCATTTCTTCAACCGGCAATGGATTAATAAAGAGGTATTTTAACAGCTTCTTGTATATAAGACGAAAAGGCTTTCGTTTTGTGACCCTACACTCTAAGCCCGATTCTCGCTGCAGTTATTAACACATTATTTAGCATTATTTGCATTTCGTCATAACTGTCAGCAAAAAGGACTACATCATTTCAGCGTTTTCAAGATCAGTGATATGATGCTCTGGACTGGTCTATACACCTTTTGAGCCAACAAGCAGTGTCTATTATCCAGAGTTGAATTTTGTAGAGGAAAGGATACAGCCTTGATGGGCATCAGTTCTTATTTCGAAGGAGTCTACCAGTTCTATATACACAGATTTGCACCAATGTACGCTGATAAAATGCCTTTATGAGTCGAATGATTTTCTATGAAGAACACCGTCGCATTTCATCAACCTACAAACCGCCTTTATATCAATTGAATCAAAGATGGCTGCAAAATAGATGAAACGTAACGGTAGATCGCATATTTTTGAAGCAATGTCCCAACATCCTTCTTATTTCCATCACTAAGTGGTTTTTTGCCATCCTAATCGCCAGTCGAATCAGCCGAACTAGAAAATAGTGAATTCTATAAGAAGATGAAAAAGAACACCTATCATTTTGTAGCAAATCTAATTGCATTTTTTATGTTAATCTCCATATTAAAAAACCAGGCTCAATTAATTTTTACGGTCTTTTTTGGACGAATTTTTCTTTCTAATTTTTCTGGAGAGCAGATAAACATGGTATCGAGAGATAGAATGTTCTTATCTCAAAATATGCATTTTTGGCAGAGTTAAATTTGGGCGACATTAGCGACTCATCTAAATTTCTATGAGTTTTTAGCAAAATTTGTTCCCTCCAACAAGTCAACGAGCTCAACCAGAATATTATTGAGCTATAAACGCTATTTTTCAGTATTTTAAGTAATTTCTAATGATTTTATTATCCAATTTTTACTCTCCGTATGTTCATCATTATTATCTCGTTTAAGGCATTCTCGATAACCTTCCAGCTGTTCTATTATTTTAT